TAACTATGTCCAATCTCAAGTTTGGTACCATGAAGTCTTTTAACGATTTAGGTTTATCAGTGCAGCACAAACCTCCTCGTACCATGTTCTCTGAAGTTCTTGTACAGGTTCCTAACTAATGCATCCATTCTTTAACGACTTCCACACAAATAACCGTAGGTTGTCACTTGAGTGTCATGTTCACGCTGGTTTGCTTTGCCCAATCATATGACATAATCTTGCGTTCTCTCTTGAAGCGTCTTTGCACAAACGTAACAAAGGAGTTGCTGACCGACTGCAGTCAGTAGACTAATCCACGAACTGTTTACGTAGTTGAACATTACGCTAAAACCTGGGAGGTTAAGTGGTTAAGTTTGTATTCGAGTCAAAGGTACTTCTGAAAAAAGCGAAAGTGTGCCTTTTCTTCGGTGCTGTGACGGTGGTAAGTCGATTACCTAAGAACTGAATACACGACTCAGTTGGTTTTGTGTGATTCTGTGCTAACGATGGTGCGATCTCACCGTATTGTCCCAACGTAGCTTCTGCATGTTTACACATGTTGGTATCGACCGGACTAAGAATAAATGTAGTCCCACCATCAGTCGCTTTTTTTCAGGGAGATACTTTGCCAAAAAGCTGTGGCTGGTGATGCCCCAAATATTTCACTTCAATTAGAAGGCCGCTGTTTTTGTGTTTTTAAGGATATTTTGATGAAAAGTTAGAAAAATGGCCTTCGTCAAATGGACGGATCAATTTTTATTACTATTCTGGTGGGTTTTCGTGAGATCTCCCACCCTGTTTGTGTTTGAAGCTGCATTTTGCTGATTCTCACCAAGGTAGTGACGATAAACGGGAACATCACGGATGAAAAGCCGGTCCGTGACTCATCCATTTGTACCATATTCCTTCGTTGGCGGATTTTCCACAATCTACCTCTTTTGGATAGCTTTAACTCTATTTCATACGCAGGAAAACGGGACAAGCAAAACGCACGGCGAGTCCGGTTGCAGCACACCTAATCGATACGGATTGCATTTTAACGCGGTGGAGTTTTTCAGCATGATGTATCAAGGACCACTAACTCAACTTAGTAAGTTTAAATCAGGAGAACTTGTGACGGTAGAGTCTATTAAAATCCGACCATAGCAATCAACCTTGGGCCATCGGAAACGTCACTTATAATGATTGATGCTACTTTGAACCATCAAACATCGTTCTCAATCGATTCAGATTGTGCGGCTTAACTATTGCCTTTTTACCATGCCCTCAGCCACCTAATCTGATTTCATGCCACCAATCAAACCGTATACCACGGTTGCAACTCTAACTGTTAGTGGGGAATGTGTCGGATATCCGATAGATTAACGGACCAGTTTTTCCCCGCCCCAATTACCTTCTGGTGTTTTCCAGGGGAACAGAAGCGTGTTTTTATTGCAAAGTTTCCGGTAATAACGACCTCTAGGTGTAACTACCATAAGTAATGTATGGTCAAGTAATCGCTTGTTCCAGTCCACTGACTTCACAACTGTTGGGAGAAGTACGTAGAGAGTATTACATCTTTTCACTTGCTCGCCATACGGTGTTGCCTTCTGAAAAACATCCGCTAAAGCGAAACCAACCACATTCTCTCGCAAAGATAAGGCAAGTGCAGCTACTGAGTGTTAGTTCCAGCTTGAGAAAAACGTGACGTCGTAGTTTATTTGCCTTAAGACTTTCACATGAACGGTTGTGGTAGGCCTAAGGTTCATCAGATTACGAATCTTATTTAAATAGCCCAGTTCTTGATGTAGCGTTTTGTTTATTGACTCTGGCCAGCGGTTAAAGCATTTTCGTTCCGATCACTCCACCATCATGCAAAGTTGAAGAGAAGGTTTAGGCACTACTAGGCACTGTCAAAACCCTTTGTCTCTCCCTAAACGAATCAGACTGAGGAGAGTTTGAAAGTGCGGAAATTAGCACCAAAATTCAACTACAACGCCCTCCATATAATTTTCGTTGTTTGTGCTAGGACATAATCTGTCCTAATCTTACGACTGACGTTACATTCTGGAAACAGGTACTCTCTTATCTGCTGTCCACAGAAAGCAGTGACCTGCGGAAACGGTGAAAGTTACACTCTGGTGGATTATCTCAGTTGTGGAAACCGATGGTTGTATTGAATAACGGACGGTTCATAGGAATGACGTGGTTGACCGAGTTCTTTTCTGAGTAAACAGCCTACAAATGATGAGTGCCCTGGATATGAGTTTTGCATAGGTTAAATAGTTATATGTGCGGTAAATTATTGCTGAAACAAGTTACTGCTGATTTACGTGTTCCGTTGCGTTGGTAATAAGTCACTTACTGGATGGCTGAGCTGTCTTTGTCTGAAAGGGTTCCTCATAGAGAAAGTTCTCCATCCATTTCAGTGGAGCACACTTGACTTGGGAGGTGCTTTGTTCCATACGGAAGGACCTTACACAACATGGTTGTATGACCCACTGAAGGATGACGTTCAGGATTAGGACGAGTGTTTTCTATCTCGCTTTCATCTTGCGATTGCACAGGTTTCACCACATACACTTTGTGGAACTCAACTTATCCAAAGGGTCCTCGCATTCCTGATTCAGCAGTAAATGAATCTACCATAGCAGGACCAAGAGATTTTCTTTGCCAGCAATTCCATTTCGCTCAAAAACTTCTCAAGGGAGATGGAGAAAATATTATCTGTGTCTACCGGTATTGAGATCTACGTAGTAAGCCAGCGGTTTCGTGTAGAAAAGACTCATCGAAGGGAGAAGCACTTCTTACTAGCAAGCACAAAATATCCAAGAAGTTTTTCGAATCGCAAACGCCCCCTAGACAAAACATTTTCGTTTTTCCTGAAGGTGTTTTTCATGGTTGGCGGTGAAGTAAGCAAATTATCACCTGGCGGATATGATTGTGGTCTGTCATTCCGGGATTCTAACCGAGGACACATGTCTCCATATTAGCTGCTGGCCACCGTTTTGATGGGATGTAGGCACTTCCCTTCATACATAAGAACGTATAGCATCTTTGTCTTTCAACTTACCCGTACATTCAGAAGTACATTTATTTTCATGCGGATCTGATTTTTCCCGGGGACTCAACTGCATCCCAGCTAAGCTTTCTTCAAACGAATGTGTTGCATAAGGTCATCTGAATTCTTACAATATTCGACATGTCGGAGTATACTACGCAGACGTTGTACACTATTTATAAGGTTGTTGAAAACTGTTCGACAGCCCACTGTGTGTTTCGTCCCTCCAGGGGGCTCATCAACTAGCGCAGTCCCCGAGTTTTATTTGAACCCAAATTCCACGAAGTTCGAAAATTCGCTCATTTGAATACCAAATTGGTTTCCACCAGAGACTCACCTGAAACTCAGCTAAACTTCTCGTTTATGATTGCAAAACACATTGTGGGCTGTCAAGCAGTCTTCATCAATCAATGGTCTACATCTAACTATACGTTTATCCCCTGAACTCGAACACGTTTTATTCGACCGATTCCCTCCATACCATCAAAACAGCGCATTCATTTGACGTTTCTAAAGAAACTTGTTGAGAGCTTCTTTATCGTCCAAAAGCATATGCTCATTGAAAGTTGACATCGAATCGCCACGTCGAACTAAAATGGTAAAAAATACGATGAAGGCACCTGTGTGGTTGAACAAAAAACTCACATCGATTCGATCGAAATGAAATACCAACTCGGATAGGAAGCAGTTTTTGCATGCTGTCACTGCTGAGACAACATGCATCTCCATTATTTTTCCTGATGATGAGATATTGTATGCGGATAGCCGAGCCCTCTGTTGTTACATTCCCATTTGTTTCTTCACTTCGACTCAACCGAATCGATTTACGGCACAAGAAACATCACGAAAATACGAAAAGAAATTGGACGAGCAAATATGGGAGATGTGAAAACCATATGCGAGGCCAGTACAACTATGCGAAGGCCCTAGATAACGTGATACGTGTCTCTAAGTGCCCGTAAAAACCTTAGAGACTAGTGTAGTTTAACGTAGCCGTGTTTTCTCAAGAGCATTCGCCTAACGGACTGTCGGAGAGCAATCTTCTGTTTAATTAAACGGGCACAAACGCTTCCATTAATAATTTGGCGGTTCGTGCTGTTGCGTGGGATCCCTCGGACTAGGAGCGACTTATTCAGCGGTGTTCGATGTTTGCTGCTGACAATGAAGAACATATCGATAAGCCTTCTCTATGGGACGAGGTCAGCCAAAGCTGAAACCGAAATGCGAGGTGTACAAATACTGACTGGCGAAAGGCGTTTACTATAGTGAAGTCAAGAACGGTTTCTTAATCAATGAAAATCAGTCAGAGAATCAGACTAAGCGTTGGCGTGCATTAATCCATAATAGATTAGCCTACTTGTAAACACGCACACCTAAGTGACCACGTTCAAGACCGTGGACGTGGCTGCTGTGACAAACACTATGACGCATGCCAGCCCTCGTTTCTGTACAACCTTTTTGCTACAACCAACCCATGACATTTTACCTCAGGTTCAATGAACTGTTCCATCCAACACCACAAAGCAAAGAACCCTGGAGACCACAAACTCAACAAGACACTAAGATCAAACAATGCCATACGAATTTCGACTGCTCAACCGCAATTTTATGCCTCCTAGACCGTAATCACATTTAACTTTGTGAGATCCACATTGCACATGATCCTCAATAAGTATGAAACAGCTGTACAGCCCTCCTTGGACTTTCAACATAGATTAACTTCACTTAGTGGACAAAATTTCTATTTAGACTTCCCAAGTTTCAACACACTACCAACAGACTCATTAGAATATATAGAAATTTAAGCCGTGGGTTTTCTCATCGGTTTAGACAACTTTGACTGCAGAGTTTCAAGTTAAAAAGCAAATATACGACCAAATATCTAACATTGACACAGATGGTGACATGGCACAACCAAAGGTGAATACATTCTGCGAAATACACCCATTTGCAAACTAATTTGATTTTACGGGAGACTCACCTGGAACCCAGCCGAATCTCTCGGTTCTGATGTTTCCAGGTGAAAGGCGAAACCGGTCGTGGGCTGTCGAGGAGTTTTCAGCAACTTTTGAGTAGTAAAGTACAAAAATTTATATGTATCGCGATATCTTGAATATCCTATTGACTGAAGTATGAGGCGGCCTGGTGCAGCACATTCGGTTGCCTGAGAAAATCACAAAAGAGGGCTTCAGCTTGGTTCCAGGTGAGTCCCTTGAAAAACCAAATTAGTTTGAAAATGAGTGTATTTCGCCGAGTTTATGCCATTTGGTTTCTATTAGAACATACGGCTGACGGAAATAGGGGACTTGTGCCCACCTGATGAACCCAAAGAAGGGCGAAACTGGTCTCAGGCTGTGGAGGAGTTTTCAGTAACCTTATGAGTAGTGAATACATTCTCTTTCGTCAAATTCGACCAACTTCGACTACGTAATGTGATCGTGAATGCCAAATATCGTTGCTTAGATTCTTCGTTAACTTTCTCAAAAAGAAGTAGGTATCATCACTTGCTTAGTACTTTTAATGCTGCTAAATTGGTAATGATGGCTTCATTTGCCCCCATCACAAAGAGTTGCGTAACCTTGAAATTTCCATCACTTTCAATTGGGCGTTATCACGATAAAGTGGCATGTTTCTTTCCTAAGAATCTCAAGAAACTGCACGCAAACTCACACGTGATTTGAAACATCGGATTTGCAACAAAGTTTAACAAACCAGAAAATTTCCGGAAGAATCCGGCAAGGTGAAATATACTCATTTAAAAACTGCATTGGTGTTAACAGGAGACTAAACTGAATCCAAAAGGAATCCTCCGTTTGTGGTAGTCTGCAGCTGATTATATTGTACAAAGGCCGCCTGATGTTTAATTTTGTACAGTATTAGAGGTACGCATATGAGTGTATTTCTTGACTTGTGTACGCTTTCGGTCCGAGTGGAACATTGGGTTGATGTAGGTTCGGTCATCGCTTTACCTAATAAGTCCGAAAAAGTGCGAGACCGGTGACGAACTCTCGAAAACTTTCCAACAATGTTGCAACCAGTGTATTTCATTAAAAAGGTGCTACAGGGTATTGTTATTGTGGCATCGGGTCTTCGAATCTATAGGTGCTTGGAGAAGCTGGCTCATAACATACGCGCTTGAATGCAAAATCCCATTTATTTACACGACACTGTGACGTTAAGATCACATAACCTCAAACGCCCGAACAATAAGTGTCACTGTCACCTGAGAATGACATTTGCGCCATTTATTTCCAAAATCCGCTTTTGATGAAAGTAGTTCCCAAACCATATCATATAATCTAAAGAAATCCCTTGAACTGTCTCACTGCACTGAGTGGTTGTCAGAAACATACTACTTATATATTTCTGATTAGCCTTCATAGTAGCTCGTAGGACTGTACATTTTACTTTGATGAGCTGCGGCCGAATGGACCCGAAAACACTCATAAGGCCTGTAAGCGAAATGTCAATCAGCGAAGGCTTTTCAATCACTTGATGGTTTGCATAGATGATTTTGATTCGAATGACTGAGTGAGTTTCAGTTTCACATCTGACATGGTTGCCTGAGTGCGTCGTGTTATTGGATAACAACGGAAGCGTGAACTAATCAACATGATTCGCCTCGAACTGGATTTACACTAATGGTTGGCGTGCACGTAATTGTCATCAGATGGGCTTCCGACCTTTTGAGCCAGTATGTTGGACCTGTGCTTGCCCCGTGGAGCAAAGCACAAATAAGTGATAGCTGCTTTCCAACATGTAGAGTTACAGTAGTTTGAGAGAGTTTTGTAATTTTCAATTGCGAAAGAGCTGAACAGCACCGGACAGCTGCTCCATCTTTATTGGGAATCATCGGCAGTGCACACCTCAGCAAACTGAAGAAACTGCCGAACCCTCGACCCCCCAGGTACTAGTCCGTCTGATCATGAGTGGCCAATCAGCACTCTGATACCAAAGGGTCTCAAACATCTCCCAGTAGAATTCGGCGACCGGATGTGGGTTCGGATCCCCTAGGAAACGTTCAAGCCACTGTCCTGTGAGGGTGCGAACATTCGGGTAATGTTCCTTTCACATAGTTGGTCAACGAATAATTCCTGCCGAATAGGTCTACGCAATTCCATTTCAACTAAATTGTAAGGTTGAACGTAATAGTGATTTCAAAAGGTTCAGACAATTAACGGTTACAAGCTATTTAACCAGCTAAGCCTATTAGATCGTATCCACATTCTACGGAAGACATTCTAACCGTTTCAAATTAAATGTGCATATTTGCCGATCATAAGATGGTTCATTACTGGATGATTTATATTCGTATCACTGAACGTAAGTCACCGACGACTAACTTTTATTTTTTTCAAGCATCTGAGAGGGATTGCAGGTTGAACCAGTAAATCAAAAAAGTTACGGTTGAAGAATTAATACATCGTGTGTTTGAACATCGTTTAGACTTTCGGTAGTGGAACGAGGAGATAATAAGTATTTCCATCGATCTCCACCTTTCAGTCACTCGATATGTTCATTTGTTAGTCGTTTGGAAAATCTCAAATCTCCTATATTCGACGCCGATGTCTGATGATACTGGTAGTAATGTACTTCAGCTTGAGCTTCAATTACTCATGTGACACGAAAGTATTAATATTCGACTTCAAGTTAATTTCTTCAGTCATGGTGTGTGGAATCCACCAATCCCGGAAAGTTAATCGTATTAATATGTGTACTGGTGAGCATTATCGCTAACTTGCATTAAAACATGATATAGCGTCACTTATCGTCCAATCAGGGAAGCCATATCACGTGTCCCGTGCTGACTTTCAACTGTCGATTTCTCAGATGATGTTGTAAAATTACTCTTCCTCTGACCTACTTAAAGGATGGTGATAGTGTGAGGTTTGGAAATACATGGAGTTTTATGAGATACTCATTGCGGATGATTCTAAATAAATATGCAAAGCTGCAGTGTTTATCGGCTCTTCATAAAGGACTAGCTTCACTTATGGGACAAACTCTCCATTTGAAATGGGGTAATAAATGAGTGTATCCCTGTGTCGTCACCATCATCATCATCATCATGGCCAGCGTTCAACACTGATGCCGCGCTGCCGTACTGTATATACTGGTTATGCTGTGTACACTGTGTATAAATGCAAGAATTATTTAGGAAGACTGGGTGCCATCTGTGTGAAAGACGTGCGGAATTATCTCGGAGGTTTTTTCGGAGAGATCTTACAAACATATTTTAGAGGAAATGAACTTATTTTTGGCGGAAACGGAGCGGTACCTTCACGGAGATTCAGTATCTTCCTGTCAATGCTGTTGCGAGAATGTCAACTCAAGCAGACGGATATCGTGGACAGATTAAGCCCTAAATTTTTATAGATTGCGCCAAGATACGACGATTTATAAATACCCCTGGATAAAGTCATGCTCCATATTTGCTTTCAAAAACTCAGTTTTCAGTTTTCAAAACTCAGTTTTCAGCCGTAAGCTCACAATTGAATTAAACCAGACCAGATACTTCAAACAGATGCTTTGCGTCGTTTTGATAATTGACACAGTGCACTGCGGTATTCATATTAACCTCAGCATTCGTCACATTATTATCTATTCATCTGGATAGAATAGGGATTCACATCACCACTCCGCCAACCTGTTCCACTCATGACCTTAAAACGGCCGCTAGGAGTTGCCGTACATAATGCAGTAAAAATTTCATATAGTCAAAAAGATAACCAGCAGTGGACCTTAAACGTTCTGCTGTCTAGGCCATGGACACCATGGACACCATGGACGTATCCCAGCCCACATATGCCATAAACTGCACATCAACAACCTTACACCACTTTGCCACACTTGCTGCGTATGGCAAGGTGAGTAAGCGAAACACTGGCGACTGCTGTCACCTCCCTTCTTTCTCCTATTCGCAGTCCTTTCTCTTCTCAACTTGTTGCTGCAGGCAAATCTCTGGGCCTGTTTGCCACTCACTGCCACTAGCTGCAATATTTAGGGTTGGCTGTGCCTCAGACACTTCAAAATCATTCATAAGCCCTGTCAGTCAGTCCGTACAGCATCCTTTAACGTCAGCACTCTGAAATAAGCTGGGGAACTCACTGATATTGCAAGTATGTTACAATCGGTTTTCACCGATACGTGCTCTCATTCTGAGATGAGGATTCGAGACTCAAGCAGTTCGTGTAACCGAACTCACCGTCACTCTCCTCTTGATTCGGATGTCACATTTCTGGTGATCCAGGATCCTCTGTGACTGATTCTCCTGAGGGTGATGTTATCCTAAGTCACTGATCTAAAGGGTCTCTGCTTGAAAGATTGCCCCGCTGATTAGTTACCTCTGTGTAATTTGTCGATGACAGTATCCCGTAAATGTGCCGACAGTCGCTGACTGCTATTTACATCTGACGCCATCGTAGATTGCAGATCTGATATATCCGAAGACCGTTTTTACGACGCTTTGAACGCCTTGCTGTGGTGGACCAAGAACTCATATATTGTTGTGGTTGCCGGGGATATGAATGAACATTTAGGTAAACTAGGAGCTGTTAAGGGTGAACTGGGTGATTTCCTACGGCTAAAATCCGAACAACGCCAAAAGCCCGCTGAACTTATGTCCTGACCACAGACTGTTTCTGTGCGGTGCTAATTTCCAAAACAGCCGAACCCATTCGAACATATGGTACCTCCCGCATGTGAGTCACTCTCCAACATAGAGAGGGCACATCGCCATTAGCTATGGGTGGCGTGAGTCATTTACCGACTATCCTTTGTTCCGAACCACTCATATGGATTCGGATCACGGGCTTGTTCGTTGCTACATCCTGTTAAGCTTTTCATGGGAGCGAAAAATGCGTACATCTCACTCGGTCATCGGGCCCCGATTCTTATTGAGCCTACAAAAGCTAATTATCGATGTTCCATTCTAACAGCAGGTATCCTAATGTTGAAGCTTACTAGAAGGTAATGCCCCCAACCGTGCACGGTGCTGGGTGCTACGTTTGTGAAACGACACAACTAATCAATTAGCACTGCATCTCGATCAACTTTATAAAATAACTCGAAGATTAGACACATCTCTCTTGTTTGAGGTTACAATATCGTCTAACAGACTGTCCAACTTTAGGTGAATAAGAGCAACTGCGCCAATCAAAAATT